TCAGTGACAGATGCTTCTGTTGGTTTCCGGCCGCCATGTTGGTGCCCATACGGATGGGCACCAGCATGGCTTCTCCGTACAAATCTCTATAAATTTGAGTAAAAAATTTCTCCGCATATCTCGCATAAGAAAAATTGCTGTGGCCAGAATTTTGGCGAGAGTCTTTGTATACTTACTTTCTTTCATTTCCCAGATTCTGAACTTTATCTATTGACCGGTTTTGATTTTTATTTTGATCTATTTGAATTGCGTGACACTGAAAACCAGCAATAGCAAGTTCTCTATTTTTCCCTAGCCCTTTTAAGCGGCCACCCAAAATTTAACAAACGTAGTTTGGCTTTCTTTTGGAAAATACGATGACAGAAATAGGATTGGTCGACCGTTAAAAACATACGTTCAAACACACAGTTTTCGCGCGCGCTTTTGCTGATGGAATTCAGCGCGCGCATAAGGATTGCAAAAAAACAAACATGCCGTCAATAGAGCGATCATTTTATTTACTCAACACCCGCACTATCTGTGCTATTTTTCTCAATAATTAAACGCAGTGTATTGATGGCTTTAGTCTTTTTTAACAAAGATATGTTAGAAAAGGTAACGATGCAAAGAACCCATCAATTCTCAGCTTTTTCTTTGTTACCGAAAGAACCTAGTTAAATGCAGCGCATGCGTAGTAAGTCAAGAAATCGCGATTGAATGAAAAATTGCACTCTCGGAAATACGCCTATTTCTCGAGAACCGCTCATTAGAATTTCGCGAAATTTTGCACGAAAATACTTTATGAAATAAGTAACTGGAGTATTGAAGATAAATGAACTTTAACAAAGGAAATTCTAGATATTCCAGTCAACCTTCAAGGAGGGGTAATTAAAGATCTCTGTTAAATTATTAGCAAAATGGTGTTAACTTGTGAGAATCGTTACAAGCTTGTTGCNTCTAGATATTCCAGTCAACCTTCAAGGAGGGGTAATTAAAGATCTCTGTTAAATTATTAGCAAAATGGTGTTAACTTGTGAGAATCGTTACAAGCTTGTTGCATGCAAATTATAAAAAAAAATCTAATGACTAGATTTTCTACAAATAAACAAAACCGATTTTAAAGGCCTGTTTATATCTATTCATGTTGCCACGGCAACGGCACATACGTCAGCTTAACCATCAAAAACCCAACGTTTGCGTTGTTAACTTCCTTGCTGCCATTTTTGGCGACCGAGGGATCAAGGGTTTTGGATAAAAAGGTGAATGAAACACAGGTATCAAAACTGTGTTCAGCCACCTTAACGCGATTCTATGTTCACTA